ATGTATGTTATAATTCCGGTTCTGGACAACGCTGCTTAGCTTGTTTCAGCTAGGATGGCACATTAAAGTGTTGGATGGTGAAGATTGATTGACATCATTGCGCACAATCCAATACTACTATTATGCAGTGATTACAATGCTTCTCGAAAAGGAGCTGTTCGGATCGCCTCTTTGCACATTATTTAAACACTGCTAATTTGAGCATTATGCAGGGTCAATGGATTGCGAGATACGTATACAACTTAACTAATAACAGAAAGAGAAAAGTATCTTGTCAAAGCTGAAAGCGTCGTTTTCATTCCTTACTACTTTCAAAATACCATCCAGTCCGGTTTTGATGATGCTAAAGAAGAACATGGTGCACTATGGTTTCTGAACGCCCTAACCCGATCAAACATTCCTTCATAATGGAAATGAATTAATCAAAATCTAGGAGTTAAATTGAAAAGAAGGGTTGGTATTTCCTTATAAAAGCAAAGATTTTTACTTCAATTGATGCTTCACCTACTCATCTGTTTCAAAATTCCTCCAAGTGAGTGAGAAATGAAGTTTTCGTTTTTGACAAGACCGAACACAATTTTTGCTCTTTTGATTGGCTCCATATTCAAATAGAGAGAAACGTGGTAATAACGCGTTGGCAACATAACATAAGTCTCCCAAGTAGTTTACTAAAATATCATAATATGTGCACGGTGAAATCTCTTAGGCTGTACATAAAAATACACATTACACGAATGAGTGTGTCATAAAAATGTGAAAAAAATGGAAGAATCGTAAAAATGATATCAGATTGCCCAGTGTGATCTGCATTCAGTGTTCTTCTTTGTTATTTCAAGAATTGAAGGCAACGTACATGAGTTTAATGCATAACTAGATTGTCCGGAGAGTGCACTTTTTTGACGATTAACCTCAAACACGTATCTCAGCTCAAAACAACGTCGTCAGTTTTTGTATGTCATAAGAATAAATCAAAACAAATCCTCAAACAATTTTCGTGCAGAAAATTGTTGAGATACAACAATACTAGTTTTGTAGCCCATACCAGCGAAGTAAATCGACAAAAGTTTCAGCCTGCCTAAAACTCCTCTTCCGCCATCTTACCTAACTCCCACAATCTCAGTACCACATCATTAAGCATTTGCCACAGCCATTGCATGTAGGTGCCGATATGTTCCCCATGCCGAAATTTGTCAAAAACCATCTTTATCTTCATAACTCAAGATTACCGCCACAAATTTTTTAGATTGTCACTATATATTGCGTTCTTTGGCAACGAAAAGCCCAAATGTATATAATTATAGCAGTTTTATTTTGCTGCTCTCTGGCTTTGTTTGGTATAAATAAAATAGTTGCTTTGCCTTATTTTGGGTGTATGATTTGACAGCGAAAATGCGCAGTTCTGCTAAGAATTAGCCGAATGTGTAACATCTTTGATGTTAAGTTACCGCTTCATCAATAACCCCAAAAAAAGTTAGGAAGTCTCAAGATATTACAGTGGATTGTTTATAGAGTGAGACAAGCAAGCTAGCCTAACAAAGAACTATGTTAGAAGAGGAGATACTAAGTGGCCTAATTAATAATTCAAAGTTTGTGCCTAAAGCAAATTCGGCATGTAGTATGTAGTATGCTTAAGACCTAAAGCAAATTAATTTGGTCTAGGTCATTAGCATACCTAATATACTTACCTACCTTTATACCTTACAACTTGCTCCTACTACTATTGTGTATATGAAGCATTGTAGCATAACATGCTTTGTACAACCAAATTTGTACGGATTATATACACGACTCAACTCTCGTCTAGGTACAGTTCAGAACCGCTCAAGTTGAGTGAAAGGTTTATAAAAAAAGAACCCGTATGTCATGTATAGGTACCATTCACACAACTGAAATGCTAAAATACCTATGCAGAATATAGGTCTATCTCGACAAGTGGCACACTACAACTACTACCCGTTTTCGACAATTATAGGACTCTAATTCTAAAGCTTACATGTTCTGTATAGTTTCCGTAGATTCAAAAAAAGTAGGTGTGTTAACTATGATATACCTAACTAGATTAAAAGCGCATCTGGGATAGCTGATAACTTCTACTGTTCTTGTTTATTACTCATTGATCAGGAGCGCGTGAGCTCCACACCTAAGAATCGTTGAAGGGGCATTCTCTCAAATGGCAAATAGTTTATCTTAATCTGAAGGGTGGATAGAAACGTTGAGGATTAGCGATACCGTAGTTGTGTTTACATAAACCCAAGAGGGAGAGAACGTTTTGATTTACTTTACATTGCAATAGAAATTTAAAATGTTGCACAGTCGTTTTGTAAGTGAGTAACCATGCCGCTGCGAACGGCCAAAATAAGAAAGGATAAAAACGAAGTTGGAAGTAAAGAACAAAGAAGAAAAGCGCTCATAGACAAATCCAATTTCTAAGGTGCTTTTGCCTAAGCAGAGATTGCAGAGGTCCCTTCACTTATGGCCTGGAAAGGAAGGCGAAAGAACAAGTGACAGAAGTGACAAAAACTTGCGAACTCAATTGAGGTCTGACGGCTTCCGCACTCTGCCTACACGATAGAAGGGTAGATTTTCACGCACATTAACTTAACAGCAAGCAAAGAAAGCAGGGAGCTTTAATACCCATACTTCAAAAGAGGTAAATGCAGAAAAATTGCGCTTGTTCTCGAATAAAGCATTTCAAGCATTGAAGTTTGTCATGCCTGGAGAAGAAATCAACGATATCAACCCCTTCGATGATATGTGCAATAGGTTTTTATGGAGAGATAGAAAACAGCGCTATCATTTTTCTCCTAGTCCACATTACATTACAATTGCTTAATAATTATAAAAATTGCTATACTATTCCTTCAAAAAAATTGAGAATATAAAACCTTTTTTTCCCAGCACTATCTACATTGTTCATGAATAGATTTGAGAATCATTAACTGAAGTATACTTCGAATGAAGTGGAAAGCTATTTCTGCAAATGGCGTCTAAGTGCATCCACAACTTCATAAGGAGGACGACGCTCGTTTTGCGGAGTCGCAATCACACAACATTTTGGCGCAAGTTTGGTACGCACCTATCCGACGCACCTGCTGCCAACTTCCTCAAACTTCCAGGCAACCTGTAGAAAGGCAAGCCACCTGGAGGAAATGGCTTGGCAAAGCTAATATAGGGCCGAATTACGCCACATCAGTATTCAATTGCGGAGTACGCAGTTGAAGTCAAAGCAACCCAAACGAATTGTCTCCATACATCCTGTTCACTAAAATTCCACCAATTTAGTTGTGCTGTGATATGCAATTTGTCATTTCAAAGAACTGACTCAGAGGGACGCAACATGTGTCTAAGAACTGGATGATTCACTCTAGCAAATTTACATAAGCATTCGAGCACAAAAGAGCACAACCTCCAACAACATCTATGCATGATTTGAAGCGCTATTTACTCGTTTTGCCAGTTGAACAAAGAACCGTAGCATCTCTCTAAAACCCATTCTTCCATCAAGTTTAAGCTGCAGCCCCTCTCACCTCCCAAGATGCTCAATACCAAATGTCAAAATCGTTTTGCGTCGAATCTCCCTCCACTGATAAGCATTTTATAACATCACGATTATCACCACTAGTGACTCCAAATGACGAATCTTATTGTTTTTATGCTATGATATGACCAATGAAAAGTGACTAGTAACAATTAACAAATTTATATCATAATGTATCAACAACAATTTAGGCTTTGCTTTCGGCAAGGAAGTCTTTCTTGAGCTTGCCCATAAATGCCTTTTTCTCAGCGGTTGTTTGGAATCGTCCGTGTCCGGTCTTCGAACTGGTGTCGATCCATTTCAAGTTGATCTTCTCGTGGGCAAATCTCTTAGTCTGTGTGACAAGCGATTTTCTCAAAGTGATGAGGCGCTTCTTTGGTCCCATTACAGCTCCGCGCAGCATGATGTAGTCTTGGTTAACAACACCGTAGCGAGGGAAACCTCCCTGAAATGCGATATATGGATTCGATCTATTGTCTTTTCTACTGTCTATCCATTTGGAAAGGATGACACCCTCAGCCACACTAGTTTCCATCAGGAATTAGGAATTGCAGACTTTTTCATCATAGGGTGTAACGGACAGACATTTCCTCAACTTACCATGGGGTTGACGCTCTTCTCGGTAAGATCGAATTCAGTGGCTCCATTGTTCTTGCCTTCAGGTGTAATACAAGAGCGACCAATTCTGTATACCTTGTTGTTGATGTGCGTACGGTGATGGTAACCTTTCTGACCAGCACGAGCAACGGTGAAGGCCACTCGCGAAGGATGCCATGCTCCAATACAAGCAACCTAATTATATAACATTTGAAACCAAAAAACATCCCCTATACTTCTGAAAAAGGAAAATTTGGGATATTAGAAATGTAGGTTACCTTACGGAGACCCTTATGAGTCTTTCGCGGAAGCTTCTTAGTGCCCCATCTGCTTGTGACACCTTTGAATCCGTGGCCCTTGGTTACGCCAATGGTATCGATCATCTCGTCTTGGGAGAAGACGGTGTCGATTGGAACTTGCTTTTCGAGATGTTCTCTAGCCCAATTAACTTTCTCCTCAATTGTCCCGCCATTAATTTGAATTTCAACAAGATGAGCCTTCTTCTGCTTGCGATTTAGGATCTTCATCTGAAAACCTGATGTTTTAGGAGTACTGAAAAATATCCAACTAAATTGAGCTATCTCCACGCAAACGCTCCATTAGTCCCAAAACATTCACAAACTGTTGAAGATTTCCTACAAAGTAAGTCTTATAGCTAAACCTTTTAGCCTTTTTTAACACGAATAGAAAATGGATCCTTAAGAATTTGGGTGCGCGAATATTCTCGAAAGTTTGAACAATACTTTAACTAAACAGCATACCTGAGTGTGAGCGACAACGCGTATAGCGGAGCAATACTTCTTCATTTTGTTCAGGTCAGACTCGATAACCTTTCTGCCATCCTCGTCTTGCCATTTCTTGGCGTACTTAGTGAAGGCCTTCTTCTTAGACTTGCACCTATAGATGAATTATTGAACTATGTGGTTTCGCAGCACCTTCTAGGTAACCGCGTGTGCCACAGCAAGTTCAAATTCTTTCATACTCAAAGAGCAGCGGAAAGATATCATCATTACTTGCCAAACAATCATACTCATGCACAAAGTGCAGAGGAGATGAATGAATGACACTGCGTTCTTCCTGCGACTGGAATTGTCTAATACAGAACGAGAGAAGACTAGATAACTATTGAGGCTAACCAGTTCTTGTAGAAGCGACGACGGCAGTCCTCGCTGAGGTGCTCAGCAAAGACAGATTTGAACGGTCGAGGACCACGTGGGGTGTCGATGTAGCCAACAATTCCAACAATTACCATTGGTGGTGTCTCAATAATCGTTACGGCTTCGACGACCTCTTTTTTGTTAACCTTAGATCCTGGCTTATCGACCTGAAAACGAACGCTACTTTAATCCGAGACCATTCCATCATTCCAGTCTCCCCGAAAAACAACACTTACATCACGGACGATGTGGGTCATGCCGGCCTTATAACCAAGGAACGCGGTAAGGTGAATTGGCTTCGATGGGTCGTCCTTTGGAAAAGCTTTTATTCTACCTCGATATGTCCTAGAGCGCTTTTTTGGGGCAAACCCCATAGAACCGTGCCTTGGCGCCGAAAATTTACGGTGCGACATTTGTACCCTGCAAAAGAAGTAAATTGCCAA